AATCCTAACTCTAACGTCCAAACAGTACTTAAAAAGCAGATAAGCATAAAATTTGCACTCCAGTTCATGCACATGGTTTATAATGTGGCGTGTTATTAACAGCAGGTTCTGTAATCCAATGGATGGTGTGCATTCAAGGTTATTGGTGCGTTCGCACTCTGTGGTTGGCCAATCAAATCGTTACATACTCTAGGCTATTGATGTAGGAGACACACATCTTGTTATTTATCATAATTAATTATTTTTCGCATTTCGTGTTGATTGATTTTTATCTATTTCATAAAGTCATTTCATTTTTGCTGACGTATTATTAACTATTCAATTTATATATATATATATATATATATATATATATATATACATATGGAATATAAATACAATCAACATGGTGATATTAATGGATTTCTCAAGATATTAGGACTACAATGACATGCAATTGAAATCAATAATTCATAATCTCAAATGTAGACAATGTTGAAGGCGAAATGGAAAGAAGTATTAATGTGGTGAGAGCTGGCTGCGAACAAGCCAAAATTAGAAACAACAGTTTACGTCAAAGTTACGTCCTGGATCAGGGTCATGAGAAAAAAACCCATAACAAACCCTAACCTTGAGGAGCTCACTGACCAATCACAGCGGACTTAACGTGTGCAAATACGATTCGCGGATATATGGATTGACTTTCTGAGAAACGGTCACAAGAAATACAGAATAACCTTCAGCAAGAAAACAACCAATCAGAAGGCGTTGCTTCTCCGCTGACAATAATGTACATAAAAATCTATAAATATCTGTTGATTTTCTCAATAAACTATCTGTTGACTGGCTCTTGTATTTTGTCGTTACACTGATATGATCTGTGCAAATCGTTATTGGCTGGGTAGGAACAGCCAGTTACATCAGCTGAATTGTTAACAAACATTTATGTTCTGAATGCCAGTTTTTGTCGAATTACATGTATGCCAATCAAGGTGTCCAGCAAGTCCGATAAGAGATCAGTTACTCGCGTATGACACTGACTGGCGATTGCGCTCTTCTATATCGTGGACTGTCAGTGGCTAGAATTCACGGGCCGTGGGCTGAATAGTCTAGGAGCTTGTCTGGTAACCGAAAGGTGCTAGGTTCGAATCTTGGTGGGTGCACTCTGATAAAGACTCCCAAACTTGGAGGAAAGAGCTTTTGAGTACTTCCTGTTGGTTTCCAATAGCTGTCTAGCTGATTTCAGCTCGTGATCGAACCCACGTATTATATCTCCGCCATGTGTATGCACTAGTTGGATTACCCCTTTGATGACAACTTAAGTGTAGAATGAGACATCTTGAATGGCTAGGCAACACAGTAGTTTACCACGATTCCCTTTCACACATAACATAGATCATGGGTATTCTTCTGAATAAACTGGAGAAACGTCCACGGCTAAACTTTCTTTGCTTCAGTCATCTTTATATAAATTTCCCTCTGGTCATAAATTTGTACTTAAAATCACTACCGTGGTTATACTTAATTCACTAGGTGGAGGGGAGAGTTATTTCACACTTATTGTGGGAATAATAAAATTAGCAAGCGCCATTGACTTAGTAACTTAATATATGTGTAAATATGTCAGATGTGCGCAAGACAACACCAACAATAAGGAATCTAAATCATTAGTGGTAATTCCATACAAGGAAGAAAATCTGGGAAACCTCACAGCGGAGAGTTCTTACTAAGGCAGGAATAAAAGTGGCTGTCATTCAAACTTATGAACTCAATTAGAAACAAGCTTTCTCGGTTAAAGGATCCTGCCAGTGGAGCCTTTAAAGCAAAACAATTTAGTCTAACTAGTAATACCGTACTGGAATGATTGTCAGGTCAAATACATAGGTCAAACTAGTAGAACAGAGGCAGTCGAACTGGCCGAACATAAAAACCTAGCAGCGAAATCTAGACCGGTTGACCCGAATAAGATAAGAAATCTGGAGAATAGTTCAGCTAGAGCACGACACCACATGCAATTACACACAAAATAACCATACAATAGGCTAGGTGGATAAGATGACAGTAGTTTTAAAATCTAATGTCACACAGTGGAGGGAGAGATTGATAACGGAAGCTTTGTTTATTGAATCGACTGAGAGTGAATACGTGTAATAGGAATGATGCAACACCTGTCCACCCAGATATCTCGAAAATTTTACTACCCTAACGATGACAAATAGGAGAGAACAAAGAAAACTATAAAACTCAAGTTTCGAAGTCATGTGTGATTATAATTGATGAAATGATCACAAACAGTAATAAATTTTGTATACAATTGGTGGATGGTGGCTAGCAGTGGAATCCAGGATAAAGCGCATTTCGTACTATTTGGGACTCGTCAGCTGGATGTACCTGCATTTCTCAGTGAGTGATGATGTTCCCACCGAGGCTCGAACCCAGTACCCATAGTTTCGAACGCCAAAGCGTTATCCACTAGACCACTTGGGCCACGACAGCCACCTCTTGTGCAACGGGTCATATTAATTATTGAATTGCTAGCCACCATCCACCAATTGTATACTAATTAAATACCCAGACATCTTCGAAGCATCTGCACAAGAAGCCGACATGTCAACCTGAGACCGAGCACTTCGGTCCAATCAATCGACGGGAAAATCAAAAATTCAATTCAGTAATAAATTTTGTTCGAAAACTTGTCATCCAGTAAATAATACTGTTTCACTGACTGTGTTATACATCTAATAAACAAACTAATCTGGAATTACTGAGTAACATTTCACGCCTGGTATGTCGGCGGTATTTTGTTCAACTCGACGACACAAATCAAGGAAAAGTTTTGATTTAGTGATTTAATAGGGCTAGGAGCTGGCGACTTGTGCTTTATTTAGACTTTTGCATTGCTTGTTAGCAAGATCAACTCTTTGAATTGTTGTTTTCAGACGGTTGGAAGCAATCGGTAGGAAGCCTCGGTTGACCTAGGTTCTGTGATAGTTGGCACTCACCAACCAGCACGGAGTATCTGCAACCTTGAAGGAACTTATGTCACTTCTGAGGTTTGAACACGCATCCTGAAGATTAGACAGCCGACCCGAAAGCAGACATACAAAACATGCAACACTCTAGCAGGTAGTCAAACAATACCAAGAGTCTGCAATGCAAGAAGTATTCAAAATGGAATGCACATGGTTTTTGAATACTCTGAGAAGATCATTGAATGACTTCGTTTGTCAGGCAGGTCATCCAGAGGAGCCCCAATAGGGAAATGAGGAGTATGGTGTTAGTCCTACGGAATGGGGAATGGAAATATATGGTCATTTGTGGAGCAAATTGAAAATTAAAAACACTTATTTCCCGATACGAATTTAAAACAAGCAACAAAGTAGGTTTATAAAGCAGGATTTAATGAATCCATCAAATTTCTGTAGAACTCGTCAGCTGCTCGGCACTCTACATACACGGATATATGCATACTTTTGAAATTACATTAGGAGATATAAGACTGAAAACCAAATAAACCACATTGATTTAGTCATGCAGAAAGACAAGTTTGTGTGAATGTTTTCCAGGTCATGTTCAAATGGATAAAGGGAGAGAGAGTATGAGAGATCAAAATTAAGATAAACCGCATTACGCTTCAATTACATCACTTAGATAAACAGTTAGTCACTAGAGAATATAACAAGAATTGCAAACAGATTAATATCAATAGTAATAGTTATAATAACAATAATAATAATAGTGTTGAAGTGAGTTAAGATAATGCTACTGATAAAGGATAGTTTTAAGTGAATCAAGAATAATAATAATAAGAGGTAGAATAATAAGTAAAACGTATTACATGGTAGATTCAGAGGAAAGACCATCCCCTTTTGTACACAAAGACCTGGTTTACAAACTCGAATCGCACAAGCCTCTGCAATTGTAAGCAATTTCCTGTTTCTTTGTCTGCTGGCTGATAATAGTGAATGACTTGACAGCGTCGATACCATGTCCATGATCCACAAGTTGTTTTCTTATTGAGGATTTTGGCACTCAGCACTCAGCTGTTTTCAACCATTTTGGCAAATGCTCCATCATGCGAGTAGACAATCGCCTTTCTGTACGACCTATGCGTATTTTCTTCCACAAACACACTCAAATTGAAATATACGTAGTTTGAAGTGTCGAGGATTGGAGACTGGTCTTTCTCAGATTGTTGAATCACTCTCTTGGTGGTATTAAGGAAAACAAGTTTTGCAGCACAATTAGTTCTCTTGAAGGCTTTATCGAGTCTTCGTTTGACTACTTCGCGTAGATCATCTCCTTCGAATGGCAAACTTATGTAAACAGATTTCTTCGGAACTGTTTGGATGGTTTTGCAGGGGCTAATTTCTTTAGAGTATTGATTAATGAATTTCTTAGGATTTTAATTCTTAGATGAAATATCCTTCAGAGAATTTATTTCATACTCAATTGTACTGTCAGAACAAAGTTTCCGTGCTCTATTCAACAGTGTTCTGACAAAGTTCTTTTTATACTGGGACAAAGCTCTTGAAATGCACATGTACTGTCCTGTCCATGAAGATTTTCTAAACACAGATCTTTCGATTGTGCCATCAGTCATTTTCGTTGGAAAAACGTCTAGGAATTTAATAGTATGTTCGCATCGTAATCTATTGTGAAAATGAGATTCAGGTGGCATGAGTTGGATTTTTTCAACATGTCTTCAGCTTTTGATCTGTTTCCACAGACATTAAAAATGTCACCAACATATCTTAGGTAGAGACTCATTTCTTGTATGTGTTGCCGCAAGGTACCGGCTTCCAGGCCTGCAAAAAGAGGTCCCAAGGTCCTTCCCATTGCGACACCATCAAATAGTTGCAGACTCCTGGGTGGAGTGAAGATGTACCGCAAGTGATACTGACTACTTCACTGTCACCATTAAATCTTTTCTGATTCTACAATCTAGCGAAACAGCTCTAAACCATCCACTGGTTTTCCTTAACAGCAATACCTTTGGCTTTGAATTAAAAACCAGCAATACAACTGTTTAAATTTTATCAAATAATAATAGAAAAGACGGAAAATAGCCTTTTTATTCAAGAAAAAGTATTGATTTTACAGTCACAACAATGTCTCTTCGCTTTATTCTCCATGTGATTGACCCATTCATTTAGACAAGCGTCAGCTATGTCGACTTCCTGTAGCATAAATACCATCCCTTTGAAAGTAAACAGGATAAAGTGGATGTTGTTTTAATTTCGAAAATGACAATAATGACAATAAACAATAATTTAAATAAATATAAAATAAATTCAAATGAAAGTGAAACTAATTCACCATGGTGATGACCGGTTTCTAAGGTTGATTAACTATGCTACTAAATTCAGCCAATAGCCAATGAGCATACAGTTTAATTAATAGCCAGTAAGGTTTCGTATTTATTAATACAGAAAAATATTCTCTTATCTGCGGTATCAGATCTCAGGGAAAAACTCAGTCTAGCAAGTTTAACAAAATGTTCAACCATCCAATCGTTTGGGGTTTCAAAACAGCAAAAAATTAGAGATCCAACTCGTGAGGAACTTGATCAACTTAAATCCCCTACATTTGAGAAATGTGCTTTGCGAGTTCAGTGGTAGAATGCGAACAAGTCATTCAGGTAGTCTGCTTACGATTCCTAGCCGACTCAATCCTTAACCTCGTCTAATTTAGTAGCTGGTATTAATACATGAGAACAGAGAAGTTTATCTGCGAGACTAGCAATGACAGCCTGTAAAGATAACACCACCACATACGTAATCACTCTGTCTCAACTTCATCGAATTTGAAAGGGCCTTCGACAGCGTCAACCAAAAGGTGATTTGACAACTACTTTGCTACTACCAAGAGGTGTCACCAACAACTGTATATCTCATTCAACACTTGTACGACAATGCTGCATGCCTAGTAATCTACAATGGTAAACTCACGATATCCTACGAAGTGAAGGCGGGAGTAGAACAAGGCCGGCTGGCTGACTGCCTATTATCTTCAATGATTTTCCTGATTGCAGCAGACAGCGGGCGGTCAGGAAACAGGCATAAAATGGACCCACAGAAGAACTCGGAGGATCTGGATCTCGCCGGTGATATATGTCTGATTTCTCACAAACTGGAAGATATGTAAGTGAAAGCAACAATTTGAGAGAAGAAGCATCAAAGATAGGAATTCAGGTAAACATAGGGAAAACAAAAGTGATGAAGATTCCTGGCCAACAGTAACAGCCACAGGAACGACAACAGACAGTAATCAGCTTAAATGGGAGAAATCTGAAAGAAGCAACCTCCTTCACCTACCTGGGAATTATCGTTTCAGCTACAGGTGGACGGAACTGAAGAGTATATCAGAGAAGCGAGAATCCGGAAAGCAAGACAAGCTTTCATTACTCTGAAGTCTGTGTGGAGGTCAACAGAACTCTCAGCATGAAAATGAAAATAAGATCCCGATTTTCAACTCTAATTTGAAGTCAGTGCTACTCACTTTGCTGTTCAGAGACTTGGCGCCACGTCACAAAGAGCACTTCGAACAAGCTTCAGACCTCCCTTATTAACAGCTGTCTTCGCTCAATACTACTCAACATCAGGTGGCCAGTCAGGAAAGACCAGCAACTGAGAACTCTGTCAATAAACAAACCAACCCAGCAGGAACCGATTGCACAACAAATATGCAGGAAGAAATGGAGCAAGGTGGATTGGCCATACTCTGAGAAAACAAACCGCCAAGTAACATCACACGCGTGGCTCTCCCTTGAATGGAACCCGAAGGAGAAGCGGTAGGTTTGTCGTCAGTGCGAGGGTGACATGGAGGAGGTCATATGAAGTGTAGAAGATGAGAACATGTAAGTAGACGTGAAGCCAGGTGATGAGAGCGGTGGTGGAGAACCAAACGCAATGGAGACGTGCGTCTGAAGCCCTATGTTCCCCTAGGAACTGAAGGAAACGATAATAATAATAATACGTGATCAGCTTGATACAATAAATGGTAATAAGAAAACCATGTGCGAATGAATGAAACCATATACTATTGATTGATTTGGTTGAGTAGTTGCATACCAGCTGGATCAAAGTGAGCCAAACACCTCGTAGTTTATTAATTAGCGCGTTAGTTGACAAAAGAGCCAAGAACTTAACAGACTGCGCATTTAATTCATGGCGTTACTGTGGTGCGTTCTACTGACAGAATTTATCAGTAGTATGTAAAGAAACGTTCGTCACTACAAAAATATCAAGTAGCGGAGAGATAGATTTGACTTAAAACAGAGGGAATGAACCAGCATTGCGGCGATAACATATTGCAGACACGAAAAAAGGCAGAGAAACACAATATGAAGGAACGACAGAAGTAGCACAATACGGGAGATCTGACCAAATAATGACTTCAATATAATCATGGAATAGAAAATTCATCAACTTTCAAAGCTTCGTGCCTCTATGGAGAAAGAGGAACCTGATATACACTCTTTCCCCGGGGATTTGGAAGATATGCAGCGACGAAGTGATTGACGAAGAACTGCGTAATCTCCGAGGGACCCTGCTGAAAAACGGTTTTCCGCCTAGGTTCATAGACAAGCACCTAACATCAACGAAGACTTCCGAACAAGTCAAATCCGTCCCCAAGAAGAAACCTTTGCTTAATCTGGAATTCAAAGGTGACATTGAGGCAGAAATCCCTCGTAAATGCCTATTCAAATCTCTGAGGAAAACACTTTGGCGCGAACCTACGTCTGACGTTTTCCTGAAAGAAACTGTTCAGCCAGAACGCTAAAGACAAGCTGTCGCATTGGGCCACCTCAACGTGCATATACCAGTTAACTTGCTATTGTGGAGCTGAGTACACCAGCCGTACCATGCGCCGACTTGAAAAACGCGCTCGTGGGCACTAGCCAGCCTAATTAGTAAAAAAAGGACGAAAGCGTGTATATAGTTCAGTGACAGAACATCTGGTCAATTCAGGACATTCAGCATTTTTCGAAAAATCCTTCAAAATAATATACAAGATTCAATCAAACCTATCAAAGGGAGTGAAATCAAGACATATGGGCATAGCCGAAGCGCTAGCTATACAAAAGCTCAAACCTACTCTTTGTATCCAACAGAAATACGTCCAACTGTTGTCCCTGTCATGGTCATTATAAACAGGTAATTCTTTTAGTAATGACCATACCATTGCCTTTCTTATCCACACTTCCTGTTTATCCATGTTATTTTTAAGTTTTTCTTAACCCCTATTTACACTACCATATTTTCATTTCTGAACTTCCTGTCTATTTTGTCATTTTATTATTTCTACATATTTAATCCTTGATTGTATAAACAATCATTCGTCACATTATTTATGATCCCACAAGATATTTTTTTATACAAACATCCTGTCTATTTATCTTGTTATTTCTACATTTCTAACCGACAATTGCACAATCAATGTCAGTCTTCTCAGTAATTATCATGTTACTTTGTTTGACTTTTAACCGTCCCCTCCTCTGTTTATAATGACATTTTAATTCCTAATGGTGATTTTAATAATTTGACATTTGACCATAAATTATTCTGGAACTTTCCCACCCATTCATCATGAATACATGAATGTTCAGCCCCATAGTTGATAGTGACTTCGTCGAAAAGAAAATTTTCTTTACTGCAACCGTCTTTTTAATAATTCCTATGATCTAGTGTGTATATTTGTTATGTACTCGTCGCCAAATTATTGTTATGTACTGGTCGAGAATTTAATAGTCCTGACGCAAGAAAGACGGAAATCAGAAGACCACTAGGGTTGCGATGATACTTCTATTTTCCAAACACAAAGAGAATGCAAAAGTGGTATCACACCAAAGTAAGTAAAGTCACATAAATTGTGAGAACGAAATATATATGACAAGGGTGTGAACAATCATTAGACAGTCTTAACATGAATGGCTAATTATAATGAAGTATCGATCCATATATACATAGCGAAATATAGCAGACATGTCAACAACCACCATATATGGATATATGTCACCAAGCAACGTACTGTCAACAAACACTCATATTATATATAATATAAGCAGAATATACATTGTTAAAGGAGACAAGTTCATACAAGTGAAATGGTCACAGACTAAGCGAGCAAACAGAAAGAGAGACCAACATACACACACACACATATATACATATATGTATATGGATACATATCAATATTCCGTGACTTTAATATATTGCCTGCATAATCTCCCTATATGTATATATCAAATTACAAATATTTGATGAAATAAGATAGTTTGAGGCAATCGGCCACAGGAAGCCTTCGACCTAGATTTCCTGCTGGTTGGCACTCGTCAGCAAGGCGTATCTGCAACCCTGAAGGAACTCATTTGCCTTCTGAGATTCGAACCCGCGTCACCCAGTGAGTAATGCAGTCAGTGACGTTACCACTGAGCTATTTGGACTAGCGCTTGACCTGCTGTAGGACTGCAGTGGGTATTTCGATTGGACACTAGTAACTAGTGTCACGTGTCTACTCCTTTGTTCGGTGCAGACTGAATTCTATCAGTCAGGTTCACAATGTGATCACCACTCTAGGTAGCTCGCCATCATGGACCTTCAAGGTTACACATACGCCTTGCTGATGAGTGTCAACTAGCACGAAACATAGGTCGAAGGCTTCCTGTGGCCGATTGCCTCCAACTATCTAATATCATCAGATCAACGTGCACCGTGGTGGAGTGCTACCTAGAATGGTGGCCGCACTGCAAACCTGACTGATAGAGTTCAGTCTGCACCAAAGAAGGGAGTACACACACTTCACACTAGTTACTAGTGTACAATGAAATTACAAATAAACATGCCGGAACCAAGTCTCTTCTCTTCCCTACTCACATTATCAGTTCATCCAAGTAGCTAGCTGAAAATCGAGTCGAAATAAATTCTTCCCTAGCTTAATTTCATTCACGATACCATCAGGCGGAAATCATTACAAAACTTGTATTGTCTCGCTATGAAGACGTTGTTTGGCCTGAAAAATCTGATAAAAAATATACTCGGCATTTTTTAACTTTCAAGTATTGGTTTTGTAGGGATTTTGTTTGATTGCATGGAGGATTTCATCATGAGCTGACATCAGTTAGAGAACCACTGTAAAACCTGCCAGGGAGTTCTGGACAGCTGTTTCGTCAGCCTAGTTTGGGACTGCACACTAGCGAGTGGCCCTATTCAGGCAGTTAACCTGGGGTTCTAGTGGAAAGCCGTAACCAGTAGGGTACAGCAGGTTGAAGATGAGGCAGTAATTCATCGAAGAAGGCCTTGTAAAATGGTCGCGCTATGTCGTGAATTGGCAGAAGTTAGAATTCAAGAACCACTCGACAGGGTCCCGGTGGCTCAGTGGTCCACGAGCTCGCCTTGTAAGCAAAGGTCCTGAGTTCGAACCCTTGCGGTGTTTGTGTACTGCTGAAGAGTCCCAAAGTAGGGCAAAACAGCTGTCCAGTACTCCCTAGTAGGTTTTCCAGTGGTTCTCTAACTGATGTCAGCTCATGAAGAAATCCTCCATTTTTTAACTTTAACGTATACCTAGCATGACATCGACGAATCCATCCATCAACTAAGCTCCGTAGTCGAAAAGAGGGAGGAGCGAATCGACTAAGGTGTGTGCATCAAGTGAAATAAAAATACTCACTGCTATAAATAAGAGTTGATCACAGAGACTGTAATATATGATGATTGACAAGACTGATGATGTTGTCAGTCAATAGCTTTTTCATCAAAAATAAAACTTGCATTTCAATTAAAAATTAAACAGTATTACACTAATGTGATTAGATTTTAAACCTACCGCACAAGATTTTACTGGATCAATAGTAGCAACTGATTTATTGATGACTTTGAACATTGTAAAAGTGAATAAAGATGCGCACTATATATATATATAGTAAAACAAAACCAAAAGAAAATATTGATCATTGTGCCAGTATTATTACTATTGTTATTATTATTATTATTCAAGTGAATGCAAAATAAAATGAATCAAACACTATTGAACACATTGAATAAGACAGTTTCATTATTAACAGAACTGTTCAGAAGACCATGTCATGCGCGCAGTTTAACTAAGGTGGTGGTACATCTGTCAAATGCTTTAGTCTGGAGTATGACACCAGAATTCCATATTAGTTTGTTTATTAGATGTATCACACAGTCAGTGAAACAGTATTAGTTACTAAATGACAAAGTTTCGAACACAATTTATTTCTGTTCATAACCATATCAGTTGCAGTCACACCTGACTTCAAAACTTGAGTTTTATAGTTTTCTTTGTTCTCTCCTATTTGTCGTCGTTAGGGTAGTAGAATTTTCGAGATATCTGAGGGGACAGGTGTTGCATCATTCCTATTACACGTATTCACTCTCAGTTGATTCAATAAACAAAGCTTCCCTTATCAATCTCTCCCTCCACTGTGTGACATTAGATTTTAAAACTACTGTCATTTTATCGTACCTAGCCTATTGTATGGTTATGTTGTGTGTAATTGCATGTAATGCTATAGCTGAACTATTCTCCAGATTTCTTATCTCATTCGGGTTAACTAATCTAGATTTTGCTGCTAGGTTTTTATGTCTGGCCAGTTTGACTGCCTCTGTTCTACTAGTTTGATCTATGTATTTGACCTGACAATCATTGCAGGCAGGGTATTAGATAAATTAAATTGCTTTGTTTTATTGGCTCTACTGGCAGGATCCTTTTATCGACAAAGCTTGTTTGTAATTGAGTTTGTGGGTGGTTTGAATCCCAGGTACTTTTATTCCTGCCTTGTAAAGAATTCTGTCTTAGGTTCACGAGGCTCCTTCTTTTTATGGAAGTACTACTGGTGATTTAGATTCCTTATTCTTGATGTTGTTATTATCCTGTGCATGTTTGACATACATATCATGATTAATATTATTATCACTATCGCTACTATAATTATTTATTTTTACATTTTCCGACATATTTCCTGACTAATTTATCCGGCTAATTATTAAGTTTCAAGGCTTCTTTTATATGTATCAGTTCCTGTCTTAGATTTTGCTTAGTACTACTTAGTTTTTGTGCTCTGTCACTTAAACATTTCACTAATCCTATTTTTACCTACTTCCCATCCTCTTTTTCTTTTTAACGTTGCAATCTAACATTAACAGTTCCCCTTGTTGACTTTCCAATTCATAAGTGAATTGAATTGCCTCCACCTTTGAGGTGATGTGTTCGAAAGATCTATCTATATCCTGTGTTCTAAGTACAGGGAATGTGTCATCTACATACCTCCACCATACTTTTAAGGTGGGGGTGAAGTTTTCAATCGCTATGTTTTCCCACCTATCCATAAAATATCTATGAATATAAAATCTAGCGAAATCTAGACCAGTTGACCCGAATAAGACAAGAAATCTGGAGAATAGTTCAGCCATAGCATTACATGCAATCACACACAACCATGCAATAGGCTGGATGGGATAAGATGACATTAGATTTAAAATCTAATGTGACACAGTGGAGGGAGAGATTGATAAGGGAAGCTTTGTTTATCGAATCAACTGAGAGTGAATACGTGTAATAGGAATGATGCAACACCTGTCCCCTCAGATATCTCGAAAATTCTACTACCCTAACGACGACAAATAGGAGAGAACAAAGAAAACTATAAAACTCAAGTTTTGAAGTCAGGTGTGACTGCAACTGATATGGTTATGAACAGCAATAAATTGTGTTCGAAACTTTGTCATTTAGTAACTAATACTGTTTCACTGACTGTGTGATACATCTAATAAACAAACCAACATCATCTACAAAATAAACTGTAACAACTGCGAAAAACACTACATCGGCCAAAGTGGACGTCCCCTTCGTCTTCGTATCCACGAACATAAGCTAGCCGTCAAAAGACATGATATCCACTCCCTCATTTCACTACACACAGACAACTACGGACATCAATTCGACTGGGACAACGTTCAAATATTAGACAAAGGAAATAACAAGAATGCTAGAGAATTTTTAGAAGCTTGGCATTCCAGTGAATCATCAATCAATAGACACATCGAGATAGACAAAATTTATCAACCGATAAGAAAGAAACTTCACACACAAAGGGTCAAAATTCAAGCCAAAGAAACAACCAGTTCCAATACAAGTAACCTAGAAGGTGTGAAAACACACACAAACAACCAATCACGACCAAGGTCACCAGGAGAGATGATTAATAAACTCGTGGAGAAATCTAAAAGCTCACTCAATTCAAATTGAAGTATGCGCTGAAGATGTCACCCAGTAAGGTGATGAAAGCTTCGCAAACTAACCATCCAGCTCAGAGAACAAAACCACATCAAAATCATCCACCTGAGCTACAAATCTTCTCTATAATATCTAAATAAACAAACTAATATGGAATTCCTTATTACCACAGTGCCCAAGTTTCACACATATAATAATATGACACCAGAAGGTTACCTGGTTTTGATTTTCAGTTTTAAAACAGACCTTGAAAGGGTGGCCTACCGATTCATTTGAACATTATTTTTAGAGTTTAAAGCAAGAGGGGTCAGAAAAGTTACCACACGGATAATCGGCTTGTAGCAGTCAAACACTCATAGTGACGTCACTTTTGATCCTTCTATGTTGGCTCTTTCTATCATTGTGAAGCAGAATTCATCAAGTATTGGGTTGTTCATCCAATAACAGGGAAAGTGAGCTTGTTTTGGACTGTTGTGAGACAGGTTATTTTCACCCTACTAATGAGTACATTAACCATTGAAGTACAATCTACCTGTTTCTATAGTAGTCTTGTTTATTACGCAAGTTCAGACATTTGGTATATGCGCCTGGTCGAGAGGCCAGTGGTTCGGAGTTACCATCTGAAGGATTAAGAATTAACGCCTCTAAGTTTGAATCCCATCCATGTTTGCAAAGGTATATTCTGTATCCGATACATGGCTAGGCAAGCTTACGTATTCCTTCTGGTGTGTCTGGACTGGGCCATGTGTTCAGTTAGGTGAATTAAGTCTGCTGTTATGTCCAAAAGTGCCTGTGAGCAAACGAGTCACATCTACACTAGGCTAGTTGACATTACATTGGGTTTTACCTCATAATCTTAAATGTGTATTTGATGGCTGAAGGCAGCAAGGTGTGTGTATCTACAGCCCAGAAGATTTGAACTAGCATCATTCCCTGCTCCAGTCCAGAGACGTTACTACGTTATCTCATAGTTCGAAGACTTGTCAGTCTTAATGGTGGTGTGTAGACGTAGAATGTCTTGCCCGTAGCATATGAGGAATGCATTCAATCATAATTTTATTGCTTTAAATTGTATAATTGTATATAGGGGATTCCTATTCAGAGTAAATTTATATTCGAGTGCTAGTTTAGCGGGCAATTGGTCACAAAATGACACTAGTTAAAGAGTCACCCTGAAAAATAGGGAGTACTGGAGAGTTGTTTCACGCCTAGTGTAGAACTACTCCGCACTGACCATGACTTCTCACTAGAACTTCAGGAACTTCAGTAAGTATTCAATTACTTTTCAGGAGTTGGTTTGTAGCAATTTGATCGATCATCAAGTGAGATGATGAACTAATATCGGTTATAAGATTTTATAATATGAAATATTTGCTATAGTTTGGTTTGTAAGGGTTAGTTATGATTTTACGAGTTGATCACGGATTGATATGAGTTAGGGAAACATTGTAAACCAGCACTGGAGTACTGGACACCTGCTGTGAGAAGTCGTGACCAGTGAGGTTCAATTAGATGTCACGTGTGTGAATGGATGTCCCACCGACGACAATGGCTGATGTCGCGCTAAATCATGAACTGGTAGAAGTTAGAATTCAGGAGCTGGCCATTAAATTGGGTTCCAGTTGCTGAATGGTATACGAGCTTGCCTGGTGACCGGTAGGTTCTGGGTTAGATTTGCATGTGGTGGGTGCGTAGTTCCAATGATTCCTAAACTAGGATCAAACAGCAGCCGTTCAGTACTCTCTGGCTAGTTTTCAATGGTTCTCTAACTGATATCAATCCGTGAACAACTCGTAAAAAATTATATGAAATATTCCTATATCACATGGATTAGAAGTCAATCTGAACGAAGAATATTCTTTTCAATACATACTTCTCTTCAGGTTCTTACAGTTATAAAACAATTATAATATTTATTGTAGTCGTTACAATAATGATAGCCAGTTAGTTATGCGATGGATACATCTTATTTCGCGTAGAATAACAGACTAGTAGTTATGGGTGTCAAAGTAAATAGTCATATCTGTGTGACAAACTTGCTAGTAGGCCGAAATCGATGACAAAATGTTTCGGTGAAATGGGAGACAATGATAGTGGTGATTAGTCGTCATAATAGACTTGTAGATTGTCGGGTAAGGAAACTGATAGGTTAGTGAGTTCAGTGTTATAAAAGGTGTCAGGTGAATGAGTGGCTAGTACAAAGTGGTCTGTATTAAACAGGCGGACATAGTAAGACTGCAATGAGAGGTGGTTCATAATGAAATAACGAATATGTAAAATGAAACAGGTGGAGGCATATACTGAGAAACGAGATAATATCACTGCGAATAAGTCCGGATGGTATAAATAGAAAAATTGGACAGTATTGAGAGAATGTTTGCATGAAGTGCATAAATTATGACAAATAATAATAATATTTGTCATAATAAGCAAAGGGAAAACAAAACCAAGAGGGTTAAGGGAAGAAGCACTCTTAATGAGACGAAGAATCATTAATCCAAATTTGGCCACGAAAGGAATAGTGTGTGAACATTTTCTTTCTTGACACAAAGTTCCGGTTTAGTCGATCTTATTGCAACAGCTTCAGATGTGTGTAGGAAACGTAAGCGAACTGTGCGTGATAACGACTTAGGAATTTGGTATATAACCCTGAAAGCTGCGTTAACATCGATGCGATGTCCAGTATCGACCAAGTGTGACAGGGTCGAGGTTTTTATGCACTTAATTTCCCCCATGGTGACCCAAACTGGTAAATGCTCTCCAACTCGCAAACGAACCTGCCTAATCGTGTGCCCTATATAACTTGAACGTCTCCTACACATAGCTGAAGCTATTGCAATAAGATCGACTAAACCGGAACTTTGTGTCAAGAAAGAAAATGTTCACACACTATTCCTTTCGTGGCCAAATTTGGATTAATGATTCTTCGTCTCATTAAGAGTGCTTCTTCCCTTAACCCTCTTGGTTTTGTTTTCCCTTTGCTTATTATGACAAATATTATTATTATTTGTCATAATTTATGCACTTCATGCAAACATTCTCTCAATACTGTCCAATTTTTCTATTTATACCATCCGGACTTATTCGCAGTGATATTATCTCGTTTCTCAGTATATGCCTCCACCTGTTTCATTTTACATATTCGTTATTTCACTATGAACCACCTCTCATTGCAGTCTTACTATCTCCTGTTTAACAGAGACCACTTTGCACTAGCCACTCACTCACCTGACACCTTTTATAACACTGAACTCACTAACCTATCAGTTTCCTTAACCGACAATCTACAAATCTATTATGACGACTAATCACCACTATCATTGTCTCCCATTTCACCGAAATATTTTGTCATCGATTTCGGCCTACTAGCAAGTTTGTCACACGAATACGACTATTTACTTTGACACCCCATAACTACTAGTCTGTTATTCTACGTGAAATAAGATGTATCCATCGCATTACTAACTGGCTATCATTATTGTAACGACAACAATAAATATTATAATTGTTTTATAACTGTAAGAACCTGAAGAGAAGGATGTATTGAAGAGAATATTCTTCGTTCAGATTGACTTTTAATCCATGTGATATGGGAATATTTCATATAATTTTTTACGAGTTGATCACGGATTGATATCAGTTAAAGTACCATTGAAAACTAACCAGGGAGTACTGAACGGCCGCTGTTTGATCCTAGTTTGGGAATCATTGGAACTACGCACCCACCACATGCAAATCTAACCCAGGACCTACCGGTCACCAGGCAAGCTCGTATACCATTCAGCAACTGGAACCCAATTTAATGGCCAGCTCATGAATTCTAACTTCTACCAGTTCATGATTTAGCGCGACATCAGCCATTGTCATGGGTGGGACATCCATTCACACACGTGACATCTAATTGAACCTCACTGGTCACGACTTCTCACAGCAGGTGTCCAGTACTCCAGTGCTGGTTTACAATGTTTCCCTAACTCATATCAATCCGTGATCAACTCGTAAAATCATAACTAACCCTTACAAACCAAACTATAGCAAATATTTCATATTATAAAATCTTATAACCGATATTATTTCATCATCTCATTTGATGATCGATCAAATTGCTACAAACCAACTCCTGAAAATTAATTGAATACTTCCTGAAGTTCCTGAAGTTCTAGTTCTATTTTCAGTTGAATCGATGCAGTCAGTGAATATTCTGTTTTAGTTTATGTGACTAAATGTTTTATTGCTATTTGTCAAATTTTAGTTTTGACTTACTAAGCGCCTTGAACTAAATGGTTTGCTTTTATTCCCTTATTTAGCCTTGAGTCCTTCAGCCAGTATTGAGACCTAGAACATACAGGTCTCAAGGAGTACATGTTCCCTCTCATACAGTAATGTTATATTGTGAATAAGACGTAAAGCAATGGCTTCTATGAAACGAAGTAACCAGAACTTCCTTCCTGTATCATTTAGGTGGCTCGAGACCGCATTCACTCAAAAGTAGATAAGTATCCTGCTGATATCAACTCCAACTGATCTGACTAGTTCACTTGCGCTCACAGTTGAAAATACATGGGTAGGACTGCGAAGACAAAGTCTACCAGATTTTCTGAGCATATCCCTAAAAATCCCTGCATGAAAGGCAGCAAAAGTATTATCAAGTGCAGTTATCAGATACGTGACTGAAATGGAACGTACAGATTTGAAAATAACTTGTATACAAAGAATTTTAAAGCATTGACAGAATACTGAAGTACCTGAGGGTTCTGTACTTTAGCTGGCGATGTTCAACAATAGCGTCCCAAGAGTGCGAACGTATGACCAATGAATGACCCTGAACTCATGCTAATCGTTGACTAATGGCGCTTGTTGTTATTATTATAGCTAAAATTTCAACGCTATTCACTAGCTAAGCAGAGAATTTCATCCAGATCACGTTTTTAATTATTGTTTCGACAATTTGTTAATAGCTCGTTAGGGTTAGGATTAAGGCTAGGGTTAGGGTTAGAGTTAGGATTAAGTTTCTAGATTACATTTAGAGAAAGATTTAGAGCTGGTGTCATCTGTTTTAATTTGTTTGATTATCCAAATTTTCTTAGTAAGCAGTCGTCAATCCTCTTACTGGAATCCACAGTGTAATTCAACTGAGGGCTTTTTGGGAACACTTCACAACATTGTACAGGATAAAAAAAAGAGATGAACGATTCACAAGAAGTGCTCATCTTTAGTCACCTCGGTGAATATCCATGTACAGAAACTAGTCTAACTTGGCGCAACTGATACTCTTCTTTAAAACTGGGATGTATCTTTTAGTCATATCAGAGAATGATACCCTGTTTAATGTGTTTTCCTGCAAATATACGTCACATTTTTGTGCAAAACTTCCTCATTTTTATAGCTGGTCAGCTGAAGGTAACTCGTGCGTTGGCAACCTTTGTGACGCTATTGTTGAACTTTTCCCTTCAGCCTTTATCAGGTGATGTGTGGTTTGATTTCCTAAGGACTTCATATCAATGGTGAAACAGCTATGCAATAAAATCCATCTGATTTTCACTAAGTCTCATACTAGTTTCACAAACTGATGATAGTTAGAGCTCATTGATCCACGTTAATGGCTAAATAGTTGAAAACAAGGCCTCCTAACCTGAAAGCTGTAGGTTTAATCCTTAATGGTGGGACCATGAATGTCTACTGCTGAAAAGTCCCAAACTCGGATGAAACGACCTATCAGTAATCCTTAACTTCCAATAGTTCTCTAACTGATATCAATCCGTCGTCAAACTTCATTTGAAAACAACTGCGCTAACTAGTGTTAGGAATGGAATAAATGTGACACTTTTTTGTTTTTACTGTAAAATGACTCACATGATCACGAATTGGTCCAAGAGTTTCACAGAAAGCTACTAAAGCAGACTGCATTTTAAAAAGTTGTTCGTAATCCAAAAAGTAGCGTAGAAAGGATCCATAAAATGCTCTGCATTTTGAACATACTAAAATTGAAAGTTAGAAAAACAATAATAATAATAAGAGAACTTTTAATAATAATAATTGATGCGTTTAAAAGTATTGGTTTTGTAGGGATTTCGTTTGATTGGATGGAGGAATTCGTCATGAGTTGGCATCAGTTAGAGAACCACTGGAAAGCACTTGGGAGTACTGGACAGCCGTCTCGTTCTGGGACCAGTGGATCGGGTCTCAGTAGGTCAATGGTCTACGTGTTTATTGGCATTGTAATCAGAATGTTCTAGGTTCGAACCCTGGCGGTGAGTGCATACTGATGAAGAGTTCCAAAGTAGACTGACGCAACAACTGTCCAGCACTCCTTGGTAGGTTTTCCAGTGGTTTTCTAAGTGATATCAGCTCATAATGAAATCCTCCAGCCAATAATTGGTTAAGTTTTAAAGCACACAAAGCATTCTTCTATTATTTTAAGACAATGGTTGATCTACTCAAAGATATCGACAACTACTAATCAGCCAAAGTGAAACAGATGGAGTTGAAAGCTGAGGTAGTGATGAAGATAGTAAACTGACAGCGACAACAAACAGTACGAATTACTATCAACAGGAGAAATTCGAGAGTTCACCTTCTTCATTTCTCCAAGCAGCATTGTTTCAACTGTCCGCGGAATGGATGAAGGTATTATAGTCTGAATTGCAAAAGGCAAAGCACATATTCATCAATCTAAAAGAGAGTTTGAAAGTCTTCTACACTCAGTACAAAGATCGAAGTTCAAATTTCTAACACTGATGTTAAGTTATTTCTTCTCTCGAACATCTCGAACAGGTTACAGACTTTCATTAACAGTCAAGAAATATTGGCTTACAAAAAGCCAACCAAGAGCTAAGTGCTCGAAAATTATGTATGACAGAATAGACATGGTTGAGTACACTTTTAGTAGTCCATCTGACGACATTGTGCGCCAAACCGCTGGTCAAATGAAACTCGAATAGGATACAGTGAGTCAGCAGTGGATCCGAAGGTGACATGGAGGCGAACGTGTTAAAAAGAGGTCAGAGATTATGGGTAATCGTGGAGACTAACTAAAGAGCACTGCAGAAAGTAGAACAAGGTGGAAACGTGCTGTTGAAACCCTCTACCCCACTTGGAACTTAAAGGAACAATAATAGGAATAATAATAATAATAGTAGATTGTATTGACTTTAAATCGGATCATGTAAAGTACAAAAGTATACTTCAAATCAAGTTGTTCATTGTAAGTGAAATTTAGCAATGGTAGATAGATTTTAAGAGGAGAATAGCTGAGAAAAAAAGGCGATGAAACGAAGTAAAATTAAAAGTTGTATCACCTAACACTCCTTAAGACTTTTAGAATTCTTATCTTCAAGTAAGGCATATATATATATACAAAATAAACTCAATCTACACTTGAAACATGCATACTAGACAAACTGAAAAGCCATCGAAATGTTTACCTTTATAACAATTCATTGTATGCTTGAGTATACCTGAGTATTGCTTTATAAGTGCATGTGATATCGTCACTAATGCATCTCACATTTAAGTGTTAACCGAGAATAGTAATGTTCAATTTTAAGATATGATGGGGAAACATTTGTAGCTTAGGTGGATGATTTTGATGGGGTTGTGTTCTCTCAGCTGGATGATTTATTTGCGAAGATTTCATCGCTCTACTAGGCGACATCTTCAGCGCATACTTCAATTCGAATTGAAGTGGGGCTATCTTGGTTTTGAGAACTCTTCGTCTTTGTTCTCTGTGTTTTCCCTTCTTGACAATGTGATTGCGGTGATTACCGTTGACAGGTGTTCCTGGTTGAGGGTTTTCTCTAGGTTTTTTCTTTTGGACATCTATTATTTGTTGATACGATAATATGCGTCTGTAATCATTAATTTGACCATTCGACGTTCACATTGTTCGGCGAATTCCCATCCCATTGGGCAGTTGACTGGTGGTTTGTATTTTACTCTGGTCTGTAGGATTTGCTGACGAAGACACTCATGGAAAAAGAATAATTGTTCTCTGGTGGATCCTTGCCTTTTGGCGAAGTCTTCCCATTTTCGAACAGAGAGAAGCGTGTCCCGCTCGTAAGATTTAGATATGATAGAGAAGATTTGTAGCTCAGGTGGATGATTTTGATGTGGTTGTGTTCACTTCAAATTGAAGTATGCGCTGAAGATGTCGCCTAGTAGGGCGATGAAAGCTACACAACCACATCAAAATGTTCAGTTTTTAGATGATTTCCCTTTATTAAATATATTCAACTTCATTATTTCTTTCTTTCATAAGCGTGGTTCAGCGACAGAATACTCGCCAAACATACACGTGATCTGGGTTCGATTTCCAATCGACTTACTCCTTGCTTAGCCAGTAGCAAGCTCAGAGCTAGAGAGGGAAGGTCAGACGGGAGGCTAGCAGTCTCATACCATAAAAGGCAGTGTTGATAAATCTTCAGAACTCGATTTTAAGGCCATATGTTTCACTGAGAATGCAAAAGGATGGACCACAGCAGATAATATACCACCGGGACCTGCTAACGAGAGAGATAAAGAGACAACAGACAGATTACTGTCTCAAACTGCCTTAAACGCGTACTTCATAGAAATACTCTATGTAACGGTTTTGAATGACCATTAAAAAATTATTTAATTGAATTTTAAATTTTCGCATCGATTGATTGAACCGAAGTGTTCGGTCTCAGGTTGACATGACTGTCGGCTTCCCGTGCAGATGATTCAACAATGGCTGGGCATGTAATTAGAATTTAACTAGTGGATGGTGACTAGCAGTGGAATCCAGGATTACGCAGATTTCGTCCTATTTGGGACTCGTCAACTAACTGGAAGTACTTGCATTTCCCAGTGAGTGATAATGTTCCCACCGAGTGGATAACGCTTTGGCATTCGAAACTATGAGCATTGGGTTCGAGACTCAGTGGGGACATCATCACTCACTGAGGAATGCAGGTACATCCACTAGCTGACAAGTCCCGAATAGGACGAAATGTGCATCATCCTGGATTTCACTACCAGTCACCATCCACCAATTAAAAACCATTAACAAACACTAAATTTTCTAATTAATTAGAACAGTTATGCACCAATAAGAATTCAACCATTTAAAGAGCGGGAAAAAATAATAATATCTTTCATCTGAACGAAGTGTTTACACAATGTACAAAATACTCAGAGTAATTTATTGCATATCATTTCTCCATACCATCCGGAATCTTCAAATAAAGGAGTGATTTATCATGTTTATCATGTGACGGAAAACTGTTCAACCTGTAGCACGGACAAATCCATTATTATATTGTTTCCCTTTTATTCTCTGAGAAATATCCACCAGCGATTTTAGCGTCACAAAAAGGTGTGCATGAGCACATTTTGACACTCAAGGACATATTTAACTGAATAAAATAGTAAGAATTTAGGGAAAATACGAAGCACTCGGCTGGATAGAAATTCAGGTAGCCCAATGATTCAAACAGACCGCCTCCAGTGAATGCGCGATAACTGCAAAATGTTGTTATTTCAAAGCTACGTGAAAATACCAGGTAAAATTAGAGGTGTATAACATACATACATTTCTATAAATCATATGTGATATGCACTTCATAGAATCCTGTTGAATACCATCAGTACTGCGACAAATAATGACGAAGACGTATCATGGAAATTCAGAAATGATTTTAACCTATGAAAGAAACAATCACTTTTACCTAACTGGGGAGCATCGTTTCAATTACAGGCAGATGGAACTGACCAGGATATCAAAGCAGGAATCGGAAAAGCAAGACAAGCTTTCATTACTCTGAAGTATGTGTGGAGGTAAACAGCACTCAGCATCAAAAAATAAGATCCGGATTTGCAACTCTAATGTAAAGTCAGTGCTACTATACGGATCTGAGACTTGGCCGGCACGTCATAAAGAGCATCTCAAACAAACTACAAACCTTCATTAACAGTTGTCTTCGCTCAATACTCAAGATCAGATGGCCGGCCAGAAAAGATCAGCAACACGGATCTCTGGCAATGAACGAACCAACCCTGCAGGAACCGATTGTGAAACAAATAGGCAGGAAGAAATGGAGGTAGGTGGATTGGCTATACTCTTAGGAAACCGTCAAGTGACATCACTAGACAAGCCATCGCCCAAGTGGAACCCGAAAGGGAAGCGGCGAGTTGGTCGTCAGTGCGAGGGTGACTTGGAGTGGAGGAGGCGATGTGAAGAGGAGATTCTGGTTACAAGGCTAGCGAGCTCGTAGACTATTAATTTACTGACTGGTGTCCAATCAAATTATCCAATACAGTCTTACAGAAATTCAATCGCGACGCTGAATAGCTCAGTTGGGACGTCTCTGACTATACCACTGGGTGACGTGGGTTCGAATTTCAGAAGGGACGTGAGTTCTTTCAAGGTTGCAAATACGCTTTTCTGACTGGTAAGTATGGACTAGCACGAAACGTGGGTCAAGCAAAGCTTCCTGCCAATTATCTTCAACTATCTAATAGCATTAAAACATACAGATATATAATTGTACAGCCAAAAGAGGAAATTATCCAAATGGATATTCTTTGCTCAATTATTTTGTGTTATATAGCCAGCTGTTGAATGAGGTTGATAAGGATTTTGGCACTACACTGCATAGTGATGAAGGAGTTGCCAAATTACTTAGTGGTCAACTTTATCGAATGCCGTTTTGAAATTCAATGAAATTGAGGGAAAGCAATATTGTCTACCTTGAGATTAACCCAAATCCCTACTAAAATCAAAATCGGAATATCAATCTCCACTACATTGTTGGCTAGACAGTGGAAATCCTGGAGCCCTGGCTAGAAGTTCAACTCCAATGCAGTCCACCATGTCAAAGAGTGTGAAGTGATCACTCACCTACGACATCAGTTCAAAGTGTCAATGTACAGTGAATCATGAAGTAGATATGATGGGAAGATTTATAGTTCAGGTAGATGATTTTGATGTGGTTGTGTTCTCTCAGTGGGATGGTTTATTTGCGAAGATTTCATTGCCCCACTAGGCAATATCTTCAGTGCATATTTCCTTTTGTCGAAGTGAGCTTTTAAACTTCTCCATGAGTTTATTAATCATCTGTCCTGGTGACCATCTTGAACGTGACTGGTTATTTTTGTGTGTTTTCACACCCTCTAGACCACTTGTGTTGGTGGTGCTAATTGTTTCTTTCATTTGAACTTTGACCCATTATGCATGAGATTTCTTTCTTACCGGTTGGTAAAAGAATGAATAACCAAGGAATTACATCAAAAGACATCTACCCCTAGCCAACGCATCAAATCAAAGGCCTCCCCAAGGAAATCACAAATAAAATCGCCCTACCATATGTAAAAGACATCTCAAAAATCACCGCAAGATTCTTCAAACCTTTAGGATTTGCTGTTGTACACAAACCAACAAAATCACTTCACTCAACCAGCCAGCCCTGTGTCACTCAAAAGACTCAACAGCGAACGAAAGAAGATAAAACCAACATCATCTACAAAATAAATTGCAACGATTGCGAAGAACACTACATTGGACAAAGTGGACGTCCCCTTCTTCTTCGTATCCATGAACATAAACCAACCGTCAAAATACATGACATCCACTCCATCATATCACTCTCTACATAAAGACAACCACGGACATCAATTCGACTGAAACAAACAACGTTCAAATATTAGACAGAGGAAACACCAAGAATTCTAGCCAGAGAATTTTTAGAAGCTCGCCAGGTATTTCAGTGAATCATCAATCAATAGACACATCGAGATAGTAAAAATTTACTAACCAATAAGAAGAAAATCTGACACATAAAGGGTCAAAGTTGAAATCCAAGAAACAATCAGTACCAATACAAGTAGCCTAGAGGGTGTGAAAACACACAAGAACAACCAACGAGCCACGTTCAAGGTGGTCACCGGGAGAGATGACTAATAGGGAACTTGTGGAGAAATCTAAAAGCTCACTTCAATCCAAATTGAAATGTGCGCTGAAGATGTTGCCCGGTGGAGCAATGAAATCTTCACAAATAAACCATCAAGCTGAAAGAACATAAATACATCAAAATCATGAAACGGATTCTCGTCGAAAGCACTGGTAAATATAGTACTATATTTTTTAATAATTCTCATTGTACCTTTAAGAACACACCATTCAGTGTAGAGACTCTTTCCAACAACGAATTTATTATCAAGCCGTACAATCGTATATATATATATATATATATATATGATTTTTAAGAAGTCATATCCAGTGAGGGAATTAAATCATAGGGGTGAAAACATGAAATATTAGTAGTATGAAATGCAATTAAAATACTTGTGATTATAATCGGAGTTAAATGTCAAGTAGCAAGAAAATAAGTTTCATGAAGTATAGGTATTGTTGTGCGTCGGCGGCACAGCGGTAGAATGATCAGCAATCACGCAGGTAGTTCGTGGTTCAATCTCCAGCCACCGACGCACTCCCTAGTAATAAGACTGGTAAAAGGATAAGGCTGGGCATTAGGCCAGCAGCCTCATCTCGTGAAAATAAACACCACTGCAAATAGGAACTGCAAGCCTCCAGCTTGAAGCCCTATGTTCCACTGGGAACGTAAGGTAATAAAAATAATATCAGAAAATTGTTGGAAAGGCGTGCATAATTATAGGATTAGTAGGCGAATATAAAATGTTACATAGCATAATGTGAAATGTGATAAGATAAAATTCGATATTGTAAAAAAATCATTTTCAAATTTAGAACGACAAGTGGAAACAATTCGAAATGACGATAGTAATAATAATAACAGTAATGATAACCGTTGAAATAAGGGAAAGATGCATAGATTAACTAAATAAACAAAATAAATAAATAAATGTCGACCCCTCTACGGCCAAGGTAGAAGTAAAGATTGTGCATACTTCTTTTGTACACAAAGGTCTGGCTTAAAGTCATGAATTGCCAAGGCATCCGCTGTCTTCATGACTTTAAGCCAGACCTTTGTGTACGGAAGAAGTTTCCTCTAGTCCCACTTATCGTCCTATATTCAAAAACCTTTTTTGTAATATCGATTTCTATCTTACCAAATTTAACACCATATTATATAGCATCTTATATTCGCCTATTAATCCTACAATTATGTCCCCCTTTCCAATAATATCTATACATCTTATGAGTTATTCTATATATGAAATAAATTGTCTTGCTACTTGACATTTAGCTATGATTATAATCACAAATATTTTATTTTGAATTGCATTTCATACTACTATTATTATTATTTCATGTATTCACGCCTTTTATTCAATTCCCTAACTGGATATAGTTTCTTAAAATCCACATACATATATATGCATATATATTGTATAACTTGATAACAAATTTGTTGTTGGAGAGAGTCTCTTAGGTGAATATTGTGTTCTTCGTAGCATCATATTACGAATTGTTAAAAGTTGGAATTCGTAGGATAAAAAATTCCAGCCCAGGTAGCATAATGGTCAGCAAGCTTTATCTCATAACCTGAAGGTCCTAGGATCCATCTTTGATGGCCTCATGCGCAATCATGACAGAAGAGTTCAAATATAGGACCAAATAGCTATCCAATAAGCCGTGGTTTTCAGTTTTTCTCCTCTAAGAGATGGTGACAGCTTTGGGGAACTTCTATATTGAATTTAATCCACATCTCTACATAATCCTGCAAAGAATAATATAGTTTATTCAGAACAAAATAGTCAGAGCGAACAAATGTGGTTTCAGTAAATTCTTCTTCAGGCTGTACAATTATAAATCCATTTAGCATTTAAGCATACAATAGCCAGCCAGTCAGTAAAGGCAAGTTAGAATCATATCAGAAAGTGTATTGTGGAACAAGTATAAGTTAGATGGGATGAAACAATAGTCAGTTAGTTTTTTAATATGTATGGTCAATGAGAACGTGAGATAAGATGAGATGAAATGATTTAAGCATGTGTGCGCAATCTTAGCCCACTTGGTAGATACTGGACACTCGATAAAACTTGGTTAGGCGTTCTCAGTTATTTACCGTGTTCCGAGTAATCTATATAGTGTAGCTCGACTACGTCTTCTATCAGTAGCTGAAGCAGTTGCAATTAATACCAGAAGACCATCCCTCTGCATACAGAAGAAGTATGTTCAACCTCTATGTTTACCTTGGCCTACAATAAAACCAACAAATCCTCCATTAACACTACAAATTCCTTTCATAATTTTCTTTTCTTTTCCTTCTTCTATTCCTCTGTTTCATTGACAAACGTTCATTTTCGACTTTTATGATTTCATCACCTTTCTTATGATTTCTGCTATCACCTTAGGTTTAAGTAGTGCTTTTCTAACTTGCTATCGTATTTACAAAATGCTGTTCATTTTAATTCATTATATTCATCATTATTATTTGACAATCATTCACCAATAGTACTTGTAATTTCACACCATATCATCGTTATTATATGACAATCATTCTTATTGTCGTTATTTTCAACCTTGAACTTATTTCTAAACTGCCACATTCGTTGGTTTATTTTCATATTGTCTCACACACCCTGACTATACTCACTCTCGAAACTCGTATTTTACTGTTGACTACTTTTACGTATATATTTTTTATTTTTGATTATAGCTTGATTTCACACCGCATTTTTGGTACAAGTATGGAATTTTCAGCATGTGATATCGGTAGCCCAATTTTACAAGCCGACCACTGATATCAGGTGTGCGTTGGCGGGGAATCGAACCCCGAACCATGTGTATAGTCGATGAGAGTCCTAACCACTGTGCCACCGATACACACATTATGAAATCATTTCATCTCATCTTATCTCATGTTTTCATTGACCATACATATTAAAAAAAGGAACTAACTGACTATTGTTTCATCCCATCTGACTTATATTCCTTCCACAATACACTTTCTGATATGATTCTAATGTGCCTTTACTGACTGGCTGGCTACTGTATGCTTTATAATTGTAGAGCCTGAAGAAGAATTTATTGAAGCCGATAATTGTTCACTCTAACTATTTGCTTCTAAATAATATAAGTTTACACACATTATTCTTCTAGTTTTATGGGCGAACAGTTGCCCTATGATCTAATATTCGAAGAATAAATACTCAAGATAGACATTCCCTCCGAAATAGTGAGAGAGAATCTATGTATCGTCATAACAGATTAAGTTAAAACAAGCAAAATGAAGAAAAAATCAAATCAATCAAACAATCAGATTCTCACTTACATCTTCCATAATAAAGATCTGGATCCATATTCTGTAGAAAGATATTGGAATTAGATAAGAGGTAATTATCCTACAATCTTTGTATAAACGGCTTTCAATAAAATCATGATATAATGGAATTCTTAAAATAAATTTATTAGTGATATATAGATATTTAGACTTTAATTCATCTGATCCGTCATCTGTTTGTGAAGGCAGGCTTAGTTAAGTGTCAAACAAACCGAGCAGTAGCACTAAGTAGTACAAGAAAAGACCTAAATGATGAACTAAAACAGATCGAAGAAGAAGAAGAGTTGGTGTTAAACGATTCTCCTATAAAATTCATTAGGAATATCAAAAAAGGTCAAAAGCAAAATAAAAATAATTGTGAAACTAGTAATGATAACATTAATAAAGAGAGAATATAAGGCATCTATCTACAGTCTTACCATATAAGGAGGAGACATCTGTAACCCTATGTAGGATTTTCAGTAAAGCAGAGAGACAAGGTCTGTAGGCCAAAGAACCAAGTGGACCCAATTACAAAATACCTTCCAATGATTTAAGTCAACTACATAGGTCAAACTAGTAGACACGGGGTAGTCAGATTGTCGAAACATAAGAATTTACGGGCTGAGGTAAGAATGGTTGACCCCATCCGAGAAGATAAGTAATTTACAAAAAAGCTCAGCAATTGCACTGCATGCATTAACACACAATCACACAACAGGATGGGAAAGGTCTAAAATTCTAAGAAATAATATAGGTAGGTGGAGATGGTGAGAGGTTGATTACTGAATCCTGCCTGAATTCATCGAGTCTACACCCAACACATACAACAGAAATGACTCAATGAAAATACCAGAAATATGGAAGATATTATTACCACCAGTCAGTCAGTCAGTCAGTGAAATCACAGGAGGATAATAAATAATCTTAAATTGTATTCTATTTCACTTCACATACATCATAACATTTTCACAAGTCACTTATTATGACTATAAAAACACTCATCTTATTCTCCTCATCTGATTGTATTCGATCAATAACACTCATATTATTATCATTTCTGAATGTACATTATCCCATGTCGATTTTAATTCAATTAAATGTTCAAACATCAATTTCATTCATGTATATAAATGAAGCAAGAAAGTTGTGTGAGTGAGCAGCTTGATATGATTATGAGTGGCAATAATTTGTGCTTGAAATGTGGTCATCAGTTAATATTACTGTAGAGCAAACACTGTGTGGTTTATCAAACTAAAATCTTAACTATAATGGAGTTATACTTTACCACTGCAGTGCCCAAGTCTCATACTTGTATCAAGAGTTATGGATTAAATAATGAAAAGGAGAAATAAACGATCTTTGTGAAGCAACACAGAAGGCTTGAAACGAAGACGAAATCAACGCAGTACAGAGAACACATGCAAACAGGACTTTAAAATAACGTAATAATAACTTGCTTTATTCCAAAACAGTACTTGTGATACAGATTGGAATTTTCAGCATTTTACTAAAGTATATTGCATCCAGTTTGTACATTATCGATAAATAAAATTCTACATAGATTATGGGTAATCTCAGTTCATTATGACAACAACATATTGGCATGTCGGTTGGTAGCAAAGCCAAAATTGAACAGAGTGTTTGAAGGTGTTAGAAAAGTAGATACTACTAGCATATTTACTGGCGTAAGTGGTAACAAGAAGGTCGAGATAAACAGATTGTGAAAGAACGAAGAAGAGTGTTTTAAGTAGAGTTTGTAAGGAAGAGAGAAACAAAGCAGCACATAACAGAAAAAAGATAGAAAGAAAGAAAACGTTGTACCTGTAAATGATATGACGAGTTGGAAAGACGAGATCCAGTTGTTCTACTGACTAATTGATAAGTTACAGGTTTCACGCCTAATGCTTTCTCTATCGCACAGAACACGAGCTAGGTAGGGTACAGTTGAGTTTTTGTACTCGCTAGTGCGAGAATATAGTTTTCTATGTAGGCTTCTGGTCTGTCTGCCTGATGAGATACAAGGAGAGAGTTGTGAATGGATGAAGAGGGTGGTGGTGTGAGTTAGATAGAATGGATTTAGCCCATTTTTCACATGAGTCCATGTGCCTGTCCACCAAAATATTAACAAGCTGGTTAAGTGGCACGTAGCTTACCCTGCAGACAACCTTTAACATCCTGCATAATAAGGTATAGTCTTTCTTCAGTAGCCAGCCCTGGAAAAACTAAGAGGGGAACAATAGAGAATAATAGGCGGAATGCGAGAGTTAACGAATTGTAGGAGTAAGAGTTGGGTTATACCAGAATGTCTTAACTTCTTGATGTAGAAGGTAAGCAGGAATTTTCTCTTAGAAATCATCAAGCTATGAGACGACCAGGAAAGATCAGCAGATAGAAGGACGCCTAGGTGTTTAATTTCTGACTTGGTCTCTATTTCAATGCCATCTATGTTGCACACCTCGTGAGTGCTAACCAGTTTGTTTAGGTCAGATTTACGCCTAAAGATGAAATTGACTTTTTGACATTTGGAGGGGTTTAAGGTGAGACCATTTTCCTTGGACCACTGGCTGATTTCTGATAAAAAGCCATTTAGTTTGAAGAAGTCACTTTGACATTTGACAGGCAAAGATACAGTCAGGTCGTCAGTATGTTTAACAAAATGTTCATCATTTGAAGATGGTAAGTCATGTAGAAAGAAAGAAAGAAAGAAAAGAGAAGTGGGGGGAGTACAGCACCTTGGGGGCCGCCAGCTTCAGTGAGCTCAGCAGAGGAGGATTTGCCTCTCTATACGGTATACCCCATTCTGTTTGAGAAGTAGGAATGCAATCAGTTAGTGACCCAGGTCTCAGTTTGTGTCATCGAGAGCTTATTTAGCAAGAGACATCTAGGTACAAAGCCGAAAGCAGAAGTGAAGTCGGGAAACGTGCAGCGGGCGTATTTGGCACCTTTATCTAATGATGAGACGATACTGTTGTTGTAAGAAGGCTGCAGCGTCTAAAGTACTCCTACCCTGTCTATAGGCAAATTGTTTGGGGTCTTCAAAGCATTTAAGGGAGGGTTCGAGTTTAAGAAGTACTAGTTATTCCACAAGCTTTAGAAACAAATTTATACTTCAGGTTGCAAATTAACACTCTCGGTATGAGGTACTCATGTGTCCTGCTCTTGCATTCGTTTTCGCCTCCGACGGATACATGAAGATCTCACATTATGTAGCTTTCAAAGAGGGAGTTATATAGAGCTATTTTCGGAGTTGTGAAGCCTCTACTGAGTTGATAGGCGTCCAAGATTCAGAGGCGAAGATAGGTATGCTAAGGACGCTGCTGAAAGGTCAGACGAAGGCAGTATAGGAGAACATAGAGCAGGCAGGTGGAACGGAGATCTCGAAATTATTAGGTGAAAGGATTGGTAACGGAATTATTTGCTGGCGACTTGATATACAGATATGGCGAAATATTACCCACTTTAAAGTCACCATTCGCCCTTATCCTCCATATTGTACTACTTTCTGTCAACCTTTCATGTTCTCTGTGTTGTTTCACAAAAAATCTTTCAGTTCACCTCCTCGCCAATCAATCTATCCTTCTGTTATTCAATATGCTTCCAGACGATATGTATACCTCGAGCTATACAAAATCTCATCACTAACACTCGCCGCTATGGTACTGATCATCTCGTCCGTCTGATAATTGATCTGTTGATCTTGTGATTCAATCTAGGAATCCTCATACTCAAAACACCTTGATGCCTAGCAATGCCTATTTGACTGATAAGAAATTCAAAGAGCTCATCTCATTCTTGAGGCAAATTCTGAATAGATGGTGGTCTAGACTGACAATGAGTGCCTTACAGTTCAACCAATCAGCACGAAGGTAACAATAACAGAGACCGATAATGTACAGTTAGTGCTAATCGAAGATTATAAGAAAAGATTTAGTCGCATTACATTTTCAATACAAACGTCAAGTCAGTCAGCTCTTCTATACGGATCAGAAACTTGGCGCTTGGCGGGTCACAAAGAATATTTCCAACAGCCTGTTGCAGACCTTTATCAACCAACAACTGTCTTCGCTGGCTTTATACTGAATATCAATCAGATGGCCGGGCCGGAAAGAATCACCAACAAGAAACTATGGCTTGGAACAAACAAAACAGGAATCAATCGCCAACCAACAAATATGCAGGAGAAAGAGGAGATGGATGGATTGGACACTCGCTGAGGAGGCCGCCGCTGGGTGACATCGCGCGCGCATCAGGTAATTGTTTAAGTGGAACCAGGCCGAAAGGGAAGCGGCGAGTGGGACGTCAGTGCAAGGGTGACATGGAGGAGATCGTGTGAAGAGGAGTTGAAAGAGTATGTACTAACATGGATGCATGTGAAAAGCACAGCAGAAGACAGAAGCAAGTGGAGACGTGCAGTTGAAACCCTATGTTCCACTAGGAACCCAAGGGAATAATAAAATAGGCTTAGAACATCTTCCAGCAGTCTGGACGAATTTATCAGGCTGAGTCAGAATATTTATTATTATGTGATTGGACAACCTCAAGCCCCAAAATTATTCAACCAATTAAAATATGCATTTATTGGCCTAACTTTCTGAGGTTTTTTTTAACAATTCATACAATTTGTTTTTATGCGTAAAACATGTCCATTGTTCTCACTGACCCAGACCAGTCTGTTTGGGGGCTCTTAATGTCAGGAGTTATTGAAACGTTATCCCGGTAATCGGACTTCAGACGAGTCGGATAGTGAATTTCCATGTCAAACACTAGTCTCAGCATTCTTATGAATACTGATCATATCAACCCTCAATCAAAGTTTTACAGTTTTCAGAATAGCGAAAATATTCACACATCTATTAAACACAAAATAATTGAGCAAAGAATATCCTTGCCGATAATTTCCTACTCTTCTGGCTCTACAATTTTATATACATATGTGTTAATATACAAAGATTATTCTAGATTAGTAGTCAATAACAATATTAGTGTGCTTTTTAAATAATATCGATTTGTAAAGCGAGATCACAATGGAATTATGGTTCATTAAGGGGGCACAAATTATAATAAATACTAAAGATATAATAGCAAATAGAATATCAACTAAAATTAGGGAAATTTCTACAAAAGATTGAGGATCATTCAAATCTAGATGGCCATGGTAAGGATAACGGCTGAACTAGCTTCCTCCTTTGGACGCACAAATTAGGCTTCCTATTATGGATCCCAACAGCCAGGCTCAGCAATATCCAGTAAACGAACTCTTGAGGAGAAATTGAGATTTGTTGGTTGGTATGCGGTGAATGACTTTGAAAGCTGCCTCGTTGACATCAGTCTTGTGTTCTGTGTATCATCCACAAGATGAGATTGAACAGGGGTATGTGAATCGATTGTTGTTTGTCGTTTACTCAGCCAACCACTATGCAGGATGATGTTCGGAAATCTGACGAGAAACACGCCTAATTGTATGGCCTATGTAACTAACTGGCTCACTTCACAGGAGCAGTTAAATTCGTAGATACACATGAAAGAGGCGAAATTAGGTAGTTTATCTTTTACTCTCAAGTGCAAAAGAGGAGTGGTTTTGAAGACACAGCGTAATTTGGCAGCAGGGAATGCTCTTTTTCCCGCACTTCTAGGGCGCTGTGTTCGTATCTGGCTGATGTTATCTCAAAGGCACTGAATTTGTAGGAATACAGCCTTCTTAGGAACTGTTGGTACCTTGGGCTGCTTTGATTTTAGATTCATATTCTTGTCAATAAACTTTTCTGGATAACCGTTTTCACTCAGCAACCGTTCAATGTTATTAAGTTCCTGATCAAGACATTCATCCGAGCAGATTACTCTTGCCCTGTGGCGGACCAAGCACTTTATCAGATTGCATTGATCTTACTTTACAAATCGATATTATTTAAAAAGCACACTAACATTGTTATTGACTACTAATCTAGAATATTCAATGTATATAAACATATGTGTATATAATTGTAGAGCCAGAAGCGGAGGAAATCGCCGAAAAGGATATTCTGTGCTCAGTTATTTTGTTTTCTACAGTTATGAATTGGCAGAAGTTAGAATTCAAGAACCATTAGATCGGATCCCAGTGGTTCCCTGGTCTACGAGGTCGCCTTGTAACCAGAAGGTCCTGGTTTCGAACTCTAGCGGTGTTTTCGTACTGGTACAGTCCCAAACTAGGATGAAACAGCTGTCCAGTACTCCCTGGCAGGTTTTCCAGTGGTTCTCTAACTGATGTCAGCTCATGATGAAATCCTCCATACAATCTTACGGTTTTATCAAAATGAGTGCCACTACAAACCTTATCGCTCATATAAATTAACTATTATCTAAAAAAATGAAAAAGTATTGTAAAACTCTTAAAAAATGAGATGGGTATCGATAGTTAGGATGTTATAATATCCAACAGTCTCCAGGTTCCAAATGAACATACATACACTCAGTGATCCATGAATTCGTCATAAAAGCAGAGACGATTGACAATATATAAGGAATTCTGAGAACGGAAAAAAAAAACCCACAACCTTGTTGCTCAATAAATATAATCGATTAAAATCGAGAAGGATGAGTCACATGATTGAGGAGACGGTTCAGTGACATCACGCGTAAGTCAACTCTCGATTAGAAGTTGAAAGGCGCAATGATGAATTGGACCTGTGATGCAGAGATGAAGCCTTACGGTTATTCTCAGAGCCAGTCATAAGGTATGCAGAGAAGAGAGTGTGATGAATCCTTGAAATCCAAGTGAGTAATAGTAGTATTAATAATAATAATAATACTAATAGTACGTCAATTAAATTACATTTGAACTTACATCGCTAATTACTTCATAACTTCCTTGAATAAATTCTGCACCAACTATAATGTTAGCGATAAAAAAATGACAACAAAAGTAAAACTTGGGCATTGTAGTAGTAAGTAATTCCATATTAGTTTGTTATTAGATGTATCACACAGTCTGTGAAACAGTATTATTATTTACTGGATGACAAAGTTTCGAACAAAATTTATCGCTGTTCATAACCATATCAGTTGCAGTCACACCTGACTTCAAAACTTGAGTTTTATAGTTTTCTTTGTTCTCTCTTCCTATTTGTCACTGTTGAAGTAGTAGAAGTTTCCAGATATCTGGGTGGACGGATGTTGAATCATTCCTACTACACTTATTCACTCTCAGTTGATTCGACAAATAAGCTTCCTGCAACCTGTTAGTTGCATTAGATTTTAAGACTGTCATCCTATCCCATCCAGCCTATTTTATGGTTGTGTGTAACTGCATGTAGTGTGTGCTATAGCTGAACTATTCTCCAGATTTCTTATCTTATTTGCGTCAACCAATCTAAATTTTGCTGCTAGGTTTTTATGTTTGGCCAGTTTGACTGCCCCTGTTCTATTAGTTTGACCTATGTATTTGACCTGACAATCATTTCAGCAGGGTATTAGATAAACTAAATTGTTTTGTTTTAAAGGCTGCACTGGCAGGATCCACTAACCGTAAAAGCTATATTCCTGTATTGTTAAGAATTCTGACTAAGGTTTCCGAGGTTCCTTCTTCGTATGGAATTACTACTGATGATTTATATTTCTTATTGTTGTGTCGTCATTATTATTATTATTATTATTAGTGTTATCATTATATTACTATCCTGTCGCTACTATCATTATTTATTTTATTTTTACATTTCCTTACATATTTCTTGACTAATTTATCAGGCTAAATATTAAGTTTCAAGGCTTCTTTTATGTGTATCACTTCTTGTCTTAGATTTTCCTCGTACTACTTAGTTTTTGTGCTCTGTCATTTAAACATTTCACCAATCCTATTTTTACTGACATAGATGGATGATCAGAAGTTCAAATATCTGTTTCAATGTGTGGGTCTCCTGTAAACACTAGTGTTTAAACGCAAATACGTGTGATAGGAATAATTCAACACTTGTCCAACCAGACATTTGGAAATTCTACTACCCCTATGATAACAAATAGGAGAAGACAAAGAAATCTATAAAACTCAAGTTTCGAAGTCGTGTGTGATTATAACTGATGAAATGATTATGAACAATAATGAACTGTGTTCAAAACTGTTCATCCAGTAAATAATAATACTGTTTCACTCAATATGTGATACATCTATAAACAAATTAATATGGAACAACATGAGAATTAACCAAATTTATTCAAAAGACATTCATACCGTATTCTATTCCAAGACATTGTAGAAATACTATACTACAAACAATGAGTAAGAGCATTATTATTTAGTTAGTATGCCTATACAAATTATTAATTTTCACTAATATTTAAATATAACTTCGATTAATCAATAAAAATTACATACATGCACACAAAGGCACACAGAAATGTACACATACACACATACATACATACATACATACAAATAAATGCATACCTTACCTATTGCCTCATAGATTGTATTGCCTGGTATTTCAAGTTAGGCAAGGTTTGGCTTCATCAACATTAAATAATACACCAATGCACCAATCTCATTATGTGCATTCATGTGATGACTTTCTTTTATGCGTTTCTAATCATAGAATGCTTCATACATTTATTCCCCTGTTTAATGAATTTGAATAAAGCAAGAACAACAATAACAACAACAACAACAACAGTGGTGTTTTGTGCAGAATAAACTGATACCATCCTTTGTTTATTTCATCGGCTTCTCATCAGCTCATCAACTGCTGCTGCTGCGTGCTTACAGACCAAAATCATTATTAAGTATGTCTACTGAAACAATTTTAACATACTTACCTTCACAGAGTTCATTTTCAAAACAAAAATCAATCAAGTATTGATTTTTTAGGGATAGCTGTTTTGTTAGTCTAGTTTTGGACTCTTCATCAGTACGCAAACACCATCAGGGTTCGAATCTAGGACCTTCTGATTACATGGCGAGCTCGCAGACCAGTAGAGTACAGCAGTTTGAAGATGAGGCAGTAACTCATCTGAGAAGATATTGCGAAATGGTCACGATATGTCGTGAGTTGGCAGAAGTTAGAATTCATAGACTGGCCAATGGATCGGGTCTCAGTGGCTCAACGGTTTACGAGCTATCTAGCCTTGTAACCAGAGGGTCCTGGGTTTGAGCACTGGCGGTGGGTGCGTTCTGATGAAGAGTCCCCGAACCAGACTGACGAAACATATGTCTGGCAGTACTCCCAAGTGATTTTCCAATGATCCTCTAATTGATGTCAGCTCATGATGCAATCCTCCATCCAATCCAAAATCAATCAATATATGCATACAGTAATTATATATATATATATGTATATATATATATATAATGTTAAACTTTCGAAATTACTTAATCAGATGAAAGAGAGGTGGAAATATCCAGTTACCAGACAGGGCAAAGAAAGACTGATAACTGCTTCTTTCTAAACGCGCAAATAAGGTTTCAGGTGCTTGATGAAGATGGCTTCAGTAAACTTGAGGAGAATTGAACTCATTTGCTTATTGATAATTTTTTAGACGATCTTGCGATGTCCACCTCATGACCTATGTCAAGGAGATGTCTGGCGATGGCACTGTTTAAAGTATTTGTTCCCTTTAGACATGAGCTTTTTGGAACATGTTCAGAAAATCGTAGATATGCCCTTCTTCTTTCTGTTCTTCCAATGTAACTGCTCCCGCAGTTACATGTAAATTTGTATATACAGTTGGAGTTAACAACATGAGAAGGATATATCTATCGATTTTTAATTGCACCAAAGAACAAGTTGCTCGGTAGATGGGAATGAACTTAGCTACAGGATAGGCCCGGGCTAGTGATGTACTCAGTCTTTTGTTGACCAGGGCTGCAATGTTTTCACCTTTATAATCAAGTTGAATGTAGATGGTACAATGGGGCAATTAGACTGAAAATGTACCTTATTATTATTATTCGCTGGCGTTCTGAGTGGAAAGTAAATCTTCAGTAGCCCATACACACTTTTCATTTACCCCTGATACAATCTTCTTCATGTTATGCTTAGACCCAGATAAAAATCGTTGTTTCTAATTTGTGCTCAACTCGAGGCTTTATTTTGCGTGCGATGTTAGTTGAAAGTATCGTCTCTGGATATATTTGATCCGTTTCCATTGTGGCTTGGTAAGCTGTTGGTTAGTTGTTCATTGCTGGGGTGCCTTGTTGCTTAATACCTTCTGGTCATGTGTTCTTGAATAGGGAGTAAGGGAGATAGTTGTTGATGAAGTCTATAGTTTGTTGGAAATGCCTTACGTATGCGCGTATGCTTAGTCTGTGAACCACATAGAAGGACTGATCTGGCATTAGTTCTAACGATTTGGCTCGTGTTTCATATACTGAGTGAAGCGAATTTCCACATTGATTCCAAAACTATGCTGGCCTGTCTTGCTATTCTGATCCTGGCTTTGAGATAGATCTTTATCAGCGCCATCCAAAGTTGAAACTACTCTGCCTAGATAAGTGAAAAAAGGGACCTCTTTCAAATTTCTCCTGTTGACAGCGGTTGATGCTTGCTGCTGTTAGCCAGGTGTCTTCGTCATATATATCTTCTCTGTTTCTTTTAGTCCACTTGGTATTTTTGCCCGTAGATCTTCAAATTTATGTGACGCTAGACGCCAGTCATCTGTGAAGTTCAAATCTTCTAGTGTCTTCTAGTCGGTCCAACGTATGTCCGTCTTCTCGTTTCTCATGGTCTGGTGAATGATCCAGTCCACTAGAACCAAGACAGTTGTCTATCTCAGCATAATGCGCTATTTTTATACAGCCTCAATTTTCGATATTTCTTTTAAAATCTTCTTGTATACAGTCAGTTGCTAATGTGCATCATATCAGCTATCAGCTGTTGGTTTGCATGGACTTGATTGGTTACACGTCTGGTCATCAGCCAGTGTCAGTTAGGAAGCCTATAAAGTTTTCTATAGTTGGTTTGTAAGGGTTAGTTTCGTTTATTTACGAGTTGATCACGGATTGATATCAGTTGGGGAACCGCTCTTGAGAGAACCCCTACAGACTACTTGTGCTGATGGAGCTGATCGGTTCGTTGGCTTGAACTTTGACCCTTTGTGTGTGTGTGTGGTTTCCTATTTTATCGGTTGGCAAATTTTGTCTATCTCGATGTGTCTATTGGTTGACGACGACTCACTGGAATACCAAGTGAGCTTCTAAAAACTCTCTGGTTAGCATTCTTGATGTTTCCTCTGTTTAATATTGGAACGTTGGTTATCCCAGTCGAATTGATATCCGTGGTTATCTGTATGGAGTGAGTGATATGAAGGAGTGGATGTCATGACATGACATCCAACAACATCATCTCACAAAATAAATTGTAACAACTGCGAAAAACACTACATTAGCCAAAGTGGACGTCCCCTTCGTCTTCGTAGCCACGAACATAAGTTAGCCTTCAAAAGACATGATATCCACTCCCTCATATCGCTCGCTACATGCAGACAACCACCAACATCAATTCGACTGGGACAACCAACATTCAAATATTAGACAGAGGAAACACCAAGAATGCTAGGCAAAGAATTTTTAGAAGCCCATCTGGTATTCCAGTGAATCGTCAATCAATAGACATATCGAAATAGACAAAATTTATCAACTGATAAGAACGAAACCTCATACCCGTACACACATATAAAGGGTCAAAGTTCAAGTCAAAGAAACATTCAGTTCGAACCAATCACGTCCAAGGTGACTAGGAGAGATGATTAATGAACTCATGGAGAAATCTGAAAGCTCACTTCCTTCCAACTGAAGTATGTGCTGAAGATGTCGCCTAGTAGGGCAATAATAGAAGCTTCGCAAATTAACTATCCAGCCAGCTAGCTCAGAGAACGCAACCGCATCAAAGTCAACCACCTGAGCTGCGTCGGCGGCACAGTGGTTAGGACTCTCGGCGACCATGCACATGGTCCGAAGTTCGAGCCCACGACGACGCACACCTGATATCTATGATCGGCCTGCGAAATTTGGGCTACCGATATCCATGCTGAAAATTCCATAATTTTACCAAAAATACAGTATGGAATCAAGCTGTAATCAAAAAAAAATCTCCATCATATCTAAAATTTCCTTCGCTGAATGTGACTTTTATTTTCCAATAGTTTAAATTATCGATTCTGCTTTAGGCGGGTTTTTAGTCTTCAAAATATGGTTGACAGACGCAAGAAGAATACATTGAGTAGGATAAAATGACGTCATTTTATTATATATCGTTGGATTTTCTCATCTGTATAGAACTCTAAAGCATTTAGCATCAAATTTAATTGCTCCTGTGGAGTGAACCAGTTAAGTAAAGGACAAACAAAATCGATTCACATACCCCTGTTCAATCTCATCTTGTGGATACACAGAACACAAGATTGATGTCAACGAGGCAGCTTTCAAAGTCATTCACCGCATATCAATCAACAAATCTCAATTTCGCCTTAAAAGTTCGTTTACTGGATATTGCTGAGGCTTACTGTTGGGATCCATATTAAGAAGCGTAATTTGTGCGTCCAAAGGAGGAAGCTAGTTCAGACATTGTCCTTACCATGGCCATCTTGATTCGAATGATCCTCAATCTTTTGTAGAAATTTCCTTAATTTTAGTTGATATTCTATTTGCTATTATATCTTTATTATGATATTTATACTTTAAGCATCTTTAATGAACTGTAATTCCATTATGATGTTACTTAAGAAATCGATATTATCTAAAAAAACACTAATATTGGTATTGACTACTATTCTAGAATATTCTTTGTATATAAACACATATGTATATAAAATTGTAGAGCCAGAAGAGTAGGAATTTATCGGAAAGGATATTCATTGCTCAGTTATTTTGTGTATTATATGAGTTGTTCAAATACTTTTTAAATTATTTAACATAAAGAAGAACGATAAACAATATCATGTGAAAATTTGTTGTTAAACATGTTAGTCGCCGTAGAGATCACTAAGAACTACTCTACTATTACGTAGGAATGAATTAAAATCTGTGTAGATGTATAAAATCAACCGCAGATCTATCTACGTCAGTGTTGAATAATTTTGCACAGGATGATGAATATTTTGTGGTTTCAGCAACTTCTCGTTATGGTTAATTGATGTTGTTTTTTTTATTTGAAGTCCATTACCTCAAAATGGCAGATCTTTCATTTTGGTGAGAGCTGTCTGCAAACCGAAATTGATAGGCAGCAATTTACACGTCAATGTTTACATTCCAAATCTTGGTCATGACAAAAAAACAAAGACTAGTCCAACAACCAATCACAGCAGACTTAGCATGGGCGGATACGATTT